AAGCTGCATGATAACGGTTGATTTTACCGTTATTTATGATGCAATTTTGATACAAAATCAACTTTTTTCTAACTTGTAATTTGCTTAATCCTCTCTATTATCTTAGTTTTATTAATAATTGTGTTTTGGGCTACTTTGATGTAATTTCGTCTATAATCCCTTTATTTAGTAGGTAATAATGTGTTTGGAAGAATCTTCAACAATGTATAGAGCTAAACCAAGCACAAGAAGCAAGCAAAACTGCAGAAAAAGACAAAAAGATGCAGTGCAGAAAAGTAAGGCTAAGGGCCCTGGGTCAAGGGCCCTAAGCGTCCGTGCTGAGGTCATTTTAGGCAATTTGGTTTTGCACAATACTTTATTTGTTCCCAATTTCTCTGTTCTTATTTTTTTCGAAACTGTTACATTCCAATAATTGTTTCATTATTTTTCATCAAAACAATTATCTCATTGTGTAGATGAATACTTACTAGATCATTGGAGTAGCTAAAAAATACCAACAGTACTTCAGAATTAAATTCCTTTCATTCTATTTTTAATAATAGCTCTAGTGATTCTTGTAATTTGTGGCACATTAAATTTGGTCATCCTTCAAATAAAATTTTCCAGATATTAGCTTATGAATATTCTGATATTTCTTTTCAATCTATTGATGCTTGTGATGCTTGTGCTTTTGCTAAACAAAAACGTCTTCAATTTTTTGCTAGTAAAACTAAATCTCCATGTTTCTTTCACCTCATTCATGTTGATAATTGGGGCCCTATTTCTACTACTTCCATTGATGGATATAAATATTTTTTAACCATTGTTGATGACTATAGTCGTTTCACATGAATTCTTCTTTAGAAACACAAATCTGTCGTCAAATCTTTACTTCAAAACTTCATTCTTTTAACTGAAAACCAGTTTTCTTGTAAACTGAAAATAATAAGATCTGACAATGGAAAATAATTTCTTCTTAATAATTTTTATACTACCAAAGGAATGTTTCATGAAACTACTTGTGTTGCTACTCCCCAACAAAATGGCATTGTTGAAAGGAAGCATCAACACATTGTTAATGTTTGTTGATCTCTTCTTTTCCAATCCAAAGTTCCAAACATTTTTTGGTCTTATGCTATAAAGCTTGCTATTCATATTATTAATAGATTGCCAACCCCTTTTCTTCAAAATAAATCTCCTTATGAAACAGTTTATTCCATCAAACCAGATTTTTCAAATATGAAAGTTTTTGGATGCTTATCATACTCCAGCTCTGTCACTACAGGTCGCACAAAGCTTGATTCCAGAAGTAACAAATGCATTTTTCTTAGATACAAATCTGGAACCAAAGGTTTTTTTGTTGTATGATTTGCATTCACATTCTACTATTGTTTCACGAAATGTCATTTTTCATGAGCATATTTTTTTCCTATCAAACTTTTTTAACTCTACCTTCGTGTCCTACACATGATGATATTTCTGATGTTACTCTTTTTGACTTTCCAAATATGGCACCTGTTTTAGCTGCCACAAATTACCCAACTAGTAATACTTATAACCTTACTTTTGATAGCATCATTCTTCCTACTGTTGGAGAAAGAGTTTCTCTTAGAAACAAAAGTAGACCTAAGTATTTAAATCATTACTACTGTGGTACTACTTCTAGCATTCCCTCATCTCATACTACCCTGTATCCTATGCATTTGTCCCTTTCTTATAATAATTTCTCTTCTAACCATGCTTCTTTTTGTCATAATATTTCTGCATAAGTTGAACCATCCTCTTTTAAAGAGGTCAACAAGTTTGAATGTTGGCAGCAGGCTATGAATTCTGAACTTTGTGCACTTGAAAGAAACCAAACCTGGACTTTGGTGAATCTTCCCGCTGGTAAGAAACCCATAAGTTGTCGTTGGGTCTATCATATCAAGCATAAAGTAGATGGCTCTATTGACATATATAAAGCTCGTTTAGTGGCAAGAGGTTTCACTCAAATTGAAGGCTTGGATTACTATGAAACTTTCTCCCCTGTTGTTAAAATCACCACTGTTCGTCTTGTGCTTGCTCTTTGTGCCATCAACAAATGGTTTCTTCATCAGTTATATATTGACAATGCCTTTATCCATGGTGATTTAATTGAAGATATATACATGAAACCTCCCCCTGGTCTTTGTCCTTCTACTCCTGATCTTTTCTGCAAGCTTCAAAAGTCTCTTTGTGGTTTAAAGCAAGCTAGCATAAATTGGAATCACAAACTAACATCATAATTACTCTTTCTCGGGTATACACAAAGTTATGCTGACCATTCTTTATTTATCAAACATTCTCCCTCTACTATCACCATTATTCTAGTATATGTTGATGATATCCTTCTATCTGGAAATAACTTGTCTGAAAATAACTTGTCTGAAATCACTACTGTCAAAGATCACCTCCACAGCAAGTTTCACAATAGAAATCTTGGAGATCTCAAATATTTTCTAGGATTCGAAATTGCTAGATCTCAAGCTGGATTATGTATAAATCAGAGAAAATATTGTCTTGAATTAATCTCTGAAGCTGGTATGTTAGGATGTAAACCTGCTGCTACACCTGTTGATCCTTCTGTTAAACTTCATGTTGATGAAGGTGTCATTCTCATAGATCCTACTTCTTATTGTCGCCTTATTGGAAGGTTGATCTATCTCACCTATACACGACCTGACATTGCTTTTGTCGTTCAACAACTTAGCCAGTTTGTTTCTACTCCTCGCCAACCTCATATGCAACAAGCCATAAGGATTATTAGGTATTTAAAGAATGCTCCTGGTTCTGGTCTGTTATATGCTGCTGATAATTGCTTTCGCATTCATGCCTACTCTGACTCTGATTGGGCCACTTGTGCTACCACTAGAAGATCTATATTTGGTTTCTGTGTCTTCCTTGGAACTGCTCTTATTTCTTGGAAGTCAAAGAAATAAACCATCGTTTCCAAATCCTCTTCTGAAGCGGAATACAGGTCCTTAGCTTCTCTGACTTGTGAATTGCAATGGCTGCAATATCTTTTAAAAGATCTACATATACCTTTCCCGACTCCTTACTCAATCTTTTGTGACAACAATTATGCTATCCACATTGCCAAGAATGCCACCTTTCATGAAAGAACCAAACATATAGACATAGACTGCCACATTACTAGACAAAAGCTTCAAGATGGTCTCATCAAGCTTCTTCATGTGTCTTCTGCCAATCAAGTTGCTGACGTTTTCACCAAGTCCCTTTATCCTTCTCCTTTTAACACTATTACTTCCAAGCTAAACATGCATAATATCCATATTCATCTTGAGGGAGGGTGATAGAGATATTCACAGATCTCTTCTTCTGTTGTTGGTACTGAACGGCTGAAGGCTACCGAATGGTAGAAGCACGAAAACCGATCGGTTGCAGAGGTTTAGAATCTTATTAAATAGTTTATTAATTATGTTTTTATTCTCTCTTTGTATATTTACTTTGCTTCCGCTGTAACTCGATACACTTTTTAACTTGAATTCATTCACTGTTATTCTTTTCTTCGGAGCTCTTTTCTCAAACACTTACATAAGGTATTTTTAGGTCATTCTCCTCTTTTCAAACCTTCAAAATCTATTTGGAAAATTTCTTTTTTTATTCGGCCTTATAAATTATAAAAGTTAATTAAATATGTATCTTTTGGTATTATGAATGTTGAAAAATATAAATTGATATTATCTTTCCCATGATTTGAACACTAATTTGGTTGGGTAAAGTGAAAACCATAAGAACTACATGTTTATATCAATCGTCTATTGAAAGGAAACATGCATGAATAAAATAAATGGTCCATGTGCATCTTAGATAACTGTGAATTATAAAAATATATTATTGCGTCCTACTTTCCCAACAATCATACCTTATATTCACATGATTAGATCTTATTATTTGTATCATGTAAAGCTTATTGCTTATTACGTGAGTTTGTTTGTTTTGAATAATGCATATATGACTGTTAATGTAACCCAAAAAAAGTTAGCTTTCGCGCTAAACCGAACATGCTCCCTGTTAGGCCCACTACTCCTAACAGGCCCAATATGGTTGAACAACCAAATCTAGAGAGTATTCAAGAGAAAGTAGAAAATGGTGCAAGACCCCAACGAATTCGAAAGAAACCCACTTACCTCAAGGATTATGTAACCAAATGATTACGTGGCAGTATTTGTAGGAATTGGTTAGGCAGGAGGAAACATGTCTAACAAACTTTATTCCTTTTTACATTACACGTTTCCTGTATGATGGTATAAAGGCATTGTTTTTGTTTGAGAAAGGGGATGACAAATGAAATATGCATAATTCTCCTCTGATATTTTGTTTTCTCTCTGATTATTCCTTTCTGAATTATGTTCTAACCTTTCATTGGTGCTTTCATTGAGCCTCTTCCTCCCATGGCAGACTCTTCTGACATTTTTTCTTCCCTTGACAAAAAGCTGGAGCAAATTCTTCTCTCCTAGGCCAATTTCTCAAACACGTTACATGACATAGCTGCTCGCACTTCTCTTTTGGAATCCAAAATCCCTGTATCACCTCCCCATCAGCAACACACCTCTACTCGTCCTCTTAAATTCGACCTTCCTTCTTTCAACGGTAATGATGCATTAGGTTGGATCTTCAAGATCATCCAGTTTTTTGATCTTCACATGACACCACTGGAACCGAGAACCCAGATTGCTTCCTTCTACCTGGAGGGACCTGCACTTGCTTGGTACCAATGGATGCACAATAATGGCCTCCTTACCTCTTGGGATGCTTTCCTCCGTGCCTTAGAACTGAGATTTGCACCATCTAAGTTTGACGATCCGATCGCTGCACTTTGCCGCCTTACTCAAACTCAGACCCTTCACAACTATATCTCTGAGTTTGAGTCGATCGCCAACCGCATCTCAGGGTATCCATCCAGCTTTTACCTTAGCTGCTTCATCTCCGGCCTTAAACCCCACCTTTGACGAGAGGTCACCGCCCTCCAACCCGTCGACATGCCACAAGCTGTGGCGATCGCCAAATTACACGACGACAAATCCAAACTTTCCCCATCCCCTCTGTCCTTCACCAAATTCTCTAGACCGCCACCACTAACCACCACTTCCACCACCCCGAAACCACTTCCACCACTACTCCCCACACCTCCCTCTAAACTACCCATTAAACGGCTCACTGAAGCTGAGATGCAGGCACGCCGTGAGAAGAACCTTTGCTATAATTGTGACGAAAGGTATACACGTGGGCATCGTTGTAAGTCCCAGTTCCTCTTGCTCATCGTTGCTGACCCTGACAATGTCTCTGAGACAACCGCGGAATTAGATTGTGACCCACCGGATAACCCAACTTTGGAAGCAGGATTGATCAGCCTCCACTCTTTCTCGGGTCATTGGACTCCTAGAACCTTTCGGATCACGGGCTCTATTAATGGTTATGAAGTACAGATCATGGTTGATAGTGGTGCAACTCACAATTTCATCCAGACTAAGGTAGCTCATTTTCTTAACCTTGCACTTGAGCCCACCTCTAGTCCATTAAGAGTCATGGTGGGAAATGGGGAATTCTTACCTTGCACTACTTTTTGTCCTAAGGCCCACATTACATTAGCCTCTCTCGAATTCCCTATTGATCTATACCCCTTGGATCTCTCTGGCACTGATGTAGTATTAGGGGTTCAATGGCTTACTCAAGTTAGCCCATTCATTATGGATTATAACGGGCCCTTCATGAGATTTATGTGGGAGGGTAAGATGATAGAACTCAAGGGAGAACAAGGTCCAAACCCTACACCTATAACAGCCCACCAACTTACACGCCTACAACACACCAACAGAGTAGAAGCACTTTTTCAACTCAAACTGGAACCTTCTCCATCCATCCATTCTCCTACTTCACATATAACTCCTTTGCCTTCTAATACTGCTATTCCTTCATCTTCTACTCCCCAGCTAAAAAACTTAATCACCACCTACTCTGTTTTATTTTCCCGCCAACCACCCTTCCCCCATCTCGTTACACCGACCATTCCATCAACCTTTTACCCAACACTGCTCCCATTTCAGTGCGCCCTTACCGATACCCCCATTTTCAGAAGCAAGAAATTGAGGTCCAGGTTCAAAAGATGCTGGACTCGGGGTTCATTACGCCAAGCACAAGCCCTTATTCTTCCCCTGTTCTTCTTGTCAAGAAGAAAGACGGTACATGGCGATTTTGCGTCGATTATCGCGCACTCAACGCTGTCACCGTTAAAGACAAATTTCCGATTCCTACAGTCGATGAGCTTTTGGATGAACTTGGTAATGCTACATGGTTCTCGAAACTAGATCTTTTCTCGAGTTTTCACCAAATCCTGATGTTGCCTACTGATTCCTCTAAAACGGCATTCCGCACCCATAGCGGCCACTTCGAGTTCAAAGTCATGCCTTTCGGATTGTGCAATGCACCATCCACCTTTCAAGCTACCATGAATGACTTGTTCCGCCCTCATTTACGTCGTTTTATTATCGTCTTTTTTGATGATATCTTTGTCTACAGCACCACCTTGGAGGACCACATCTCTCACTTGGAAACCGCTTTCAAATTGCTCCATGCAAACAGTTTTTGTCTCAAGGGTTCCAAGTGTTTCATAGGGCAGCAATCGATTCAATATTTGGGTCATGTAGTCTCGTCACAGGGTGTCACACCAGATCCGTCAAAGATCCAAGATATCGTTGATTGGCCGTTGCCAACCACTCTGAAGTCCCTGCGTGGTTTTCTTGGACTCACAGGGTTTTACCGCCGATTTGTAAAGGGGTACGCCTCTATTGCTTCTGCTTTAACTGATTTACTTAAAAAGGATAACTTCATATGGTCTGCTTCAGCTACTACGGCTTTTGAGAACCTTAAAACCGCTGTTACTACTGCCCCAGTATTGGCTCTGCCACGGTTTGATTTAGCTTTCACTGTTCAAACAGATGCCTCCGGTTTTGGTATGGGGGCCGTTTTATCACAAGAAGGACACCCAATTGCTTTTTTCAGTAAGCAATTTTGCCCTAAATTGCGACATTCATCAACGTACATCAGGGAACTCTGTGCTATCACATCTGCCATTCAGAAATGGCGCCAATACTTGCTCGGTCGCCACTTCATCATATACACTGATCAACAAGCCATCAAGGAATTGCTATCTCAAACTGTCCTAACTCCTGACCAACAATCCTATGTAGCCAAATTATTGGGATTCGACTTTGAGATACATTATAAACCAGGAAAAACAAACAC